CACAATTCACCTTATCCCATATCATCTAATCACTTTTACTCTTATCACAATTCATTTTATCCGTTCACTTTTCTTTTGGCGGCTTTCTACATCATCCTGGACATCTTTGATAACTTATGTTAATTTTACGACTATTATTTATGCATTTCCCACAAAATACCGATTAGGCCTCTCGATGTCATCCAAGTTCTCTCAACCTTATCTCTTAATCTCTTCCTTCATTCAAGATGAACTGGACTTTCCACAACATTTAATCATAGTCTATCTTAAATGGTTTTATGCATAGATTATTTTTCTTCATCACCTAGTTTCCCACACACTTTTATGAACTAATTATAGATTTCCATTTTTATAACATAGAAAGAAGAAGATAACGTGTTTAAGCCTAATCGGATAACTGCACTTCTCCCGTCCGACGACAGTTTTCTTTGGCTCGGAACTGGAGACGGCGTCATCCTCCTGCTCAGTATACAGAATATGTATTCGTCTCCAGCCTCTGGGACCCATGAGATGTCGGAGCCTGATTCACCCAGAAGCAATGAGCACACCGAAGAACTGCTACTACAGGAGACCTATGACGACTCGGCTCGGAGAGGTAGCGAGGTCCTAGGAAGAGAATCTTTCAGCAAAGATTTAGGTAGACCGAGTTTCTCTATTGAAAATACATAATTACATGACTTTGGTCTAAGTTATTGCTCATACAAACCAATATGTTCAGACCGAAAGATGGTCTCGGTTAATTTGGCCTATGCGTCTTGAAATGAATTCGAATGATGCCCTCGTGAAAGTTGTTGAGATGGTGGAGCATTCAATGATGACTTGAAATACTCGAAGACCCAAGAGCCGAATGTCCCCATCTATCGAGCCTTTGGGCTTGTCGGGCCGTTTGCTGTCTCCTCTTTTGCCAGAATCACTCGAGTTGCCACCGATACTTGGCTCTGCTGATCGCGACTGATTCGGCCGAGAATTATAAACGGCTTGTCTGGTGAATGTATCAACTCAAAGTGATTCAGCTCTATGAGTTATGTTCGCCCTATTTCGTTTAAAGTGGTGAAGGACTGGTAGTTGAATTTTCCCACAACAATATGGATGAGAACACATTTAGGAAAAGCGAGGTTCTGTGAAATTCAATACAAACATCAGCTCTACTCGTGTGATTGTGGAAAAATTCAACTACCAGTCCTTCATCACCTTAAACGAACTAGAGTGAACATATCGCATAGATCTGATTTACTGATAGTCTCGAAAACCTACCCAAAACGACATCAAAGTGATTCCATTTCAGCTGCCTGCTCACGATCATTCAAAGCCCATATCATTTAAAGTCTTGGTTGGCAGTACCATCTGCGAAGCCAAGATCATTTTGCCCAACCTTGAGTCATGTGATTCATTGGCCCATCCTTCGATTCACCTGCTTGTCCGGCCTTTTCCATACTCTGTCCTGTCGAAGGACCTGGATCTCAGGTGCCTAATCATTGGCTTTGACGACCAGACCAGATCTACTGGTCGTGCATGTCAGCGTCAAGTTCCATGTCTGCCGCGTCTTTTTGACACAGAACTTGACCAGAGCCTGCGTTACTTATGTTTGCTTAAGGAGTACTAGTGGCATTTTTCCGCAATGGCATTCATAGGCCTAATGGCGCCTCCCAAAGGGTTTTCTCCTTCAGGTCGGACTACAGCTTCGACTTCACCTCACCATCGGACCAGCGTCAGCCAGCAACAGAGACTCGAACCGAGGACTTTAGCGTAGACTTGAAGCATGACATCACCTCACCACAGCCATCAATCTCAGTGGGTGGCTGGTAAGCCAAGCCTCTCGCGAATCACATTTTTGTGAAGTGGGTTTAACTCGTTGTGGCAATTTGGTCTTGTTGTCAGGGAGACTTAGAAGAACGCACCCAGTCCGAAGTCGTCTGCCATTATAGTTGTCATAATTCCAAGAATCAGACTGTGGATTTGGTACATTCTCAAACGTTTCGTCGGCATCGTAGTCGGCATTTTCAGTGAGTTTTGCCATTCTCCGCACCAAGCTGCGAACTCGTCAAAGAGACAAGTGAAGTCAATCCCTCGACAACGTTCTGCCGAAAACGAGGTCAACCCACTTCTTTAAATGGAAAGGAGACTGCGACCATGCCAGAGGCCACAGCATCTTGGTCTTCATATCACATTTTGGTGAGTTTATCGATGAGGCAAACCTGTGTGCCTGACTTTTCAGTTCGAAGGAATTGTTGGTTGGAAAGTATTCGTGAATTGGTCTTACCGGAGACCGAAGGAGTGAAAACTATTGAATGATGCGAACATGTCCATGGATCACTGTTCTGCGATTCTGTTGGTTTTCGCTTATTACCCTATTTCGTTTAGGGTGATACTGTTGAACTTTCCTACAACAATATGAGTAGACATGACGTTTCCATTAAACTTCACATAGCCTTGTTTCCTAAGAGGTATTCTTATCTCGGCTGGAGTGGATTGCAGTTTCGACCTCGCTTAGGTTTTATCAACACCCCAAGCGGAAGTCAAACCATGACAATGCAGTGTACAATCTCGATATCCTCGGACCAAGAAGCCATACTTTATGTAATAGCTCAACAATATTACTAAACCCCACAGTCGATAGGTTATTGGGCCAATTCCATCCAGAGTGAAAGTGTTTTTTGAATAGATTCAAAAGTGAACCTCACCAGAAGACGACAGCGGATTCCTCTTTACCAGCTGTTGATTACATTTATTGGGACATTCTTGTTGAGGCTGTTTCCGGAGCGATCTCCTTCGATTCCGATGAAAACATCATCATAGCAGGGAGGATGGCATCCGTACAACGATCTTCTCGCCAACGAATCGACAAAACCCATGGAACTTATGACACTTTCTTCAGTTATATCCCCTTTTAGAGACTCGTTAGCTTGAATATGGTTGTAGGAATGATGTTCGTCATACAGCGGGTGAAAGCTTAGCTATTTTTTACCAGAATCGAAGAAGATTATCTCCATAGCAGCCTTAACAAGAATGTTCCAATCAAGCCATTCGGCGCCTGGCCAAGAGGAATTTGCTGTCCTCTTCTGGTGGGACCGACCTTCGAATTGCTTCACCAAACACTTTCACTCGAAATAGAAGTAAGCTCAACAACATGTCTCTTTGACGAGTTGTAGTAGTTAGTGTTGAGAATTGCAAGAATCACTGACACTGCTGACTGAGTTGCCGGCGAAACGTCTGGTACTGTACCAAGTCTACGGCTAACGCTGGAAATGATCATAAATACTACAGAAGAGAACTTCGGACAAGGTGAGTCAAACTAAGTCGCCCTGACAACACGACCAAGTTGCGAAAACGACATTAGACCACGTCTATGCATCGAAAGGAGACTGTGACCAAAATACAGGCGACAAAAGCATGGTTTTCACATTTATGACTAAATTAGTAGATTCCTTTAAATCCAATTCAATTCGCATACAATCGGTAGGTTAGTCATTCATTCGGTGGATCTGTCAGAGTTGGTAAGCCACTAGGTCTGTTGGCAAGTTATTGTGACTCGAATTTCACTTCGAAAGGCAAGTTGGTTGGAAGAAATGGCCTCACCGGAAAGCGGTCACAATCAAAGACCGTTGACTTGTGCGAAGGAGTTTTTTGCTCACTGTTCTGCGTCTCCTTTGAATCCATGTTGGGCTTTCTTGTGTCTAGTGACTGGCATCATCAAGCCATGAAAC